ACAAACTTATTCTGATTCTCTAATGTGTTCTTTTGTCATACCCTTTACTACTGGTTTTCTATCATCTTCACTTCCTGAATTTGCAGCTGTCTTCTTAGCTTTAATCATTATGTCACCTCACTGTAAAGTGATAATTTATACTGACTCAGCGGTTATCATATTCCAGTTCAACAAATTTAAAACCCTCCTTTACCTCTCACCTACCTTTCGCCCATTCCTTAAAATTAACAATTATGCAAATTGGTCTTGCCTATTTGATGTCATATCACAAAATAATCTAGATATATATCTGATTAAAGTTAAAGCACATTCTAATAATTTTTACAACAACAAAGTTGATGAGTTAGCAAGAAATTGCAATCAGTCTTCTGCTTTACAACTTCTTATCTAAATTCCATAGTATAACTGTAAATCTATAATACCTACACTTAAAAGATTTAGTGTAAATTGGCGTTTTTTTGATATTTATAAGGCTAACTTAGTAAAAAACTTCACATTTAGAAACGTACTTTTTTAATAATTAACTACCTGTCATGCTTTTATTAGTAAATGTAGATTATTTTGTCTGTGCTAACTTTAATAAAGCTTTTATGGTATTCTATGACTCGTACATATCGATCCCTATACGTCAATTCATAAAAGAACTACACAGAGAATCTTTAATCTTGAACTTAAGTAACTTAGATTCTCTCAAAAAGTATTATGATTGTCCATTCTCACTGGATTGCTACTTCATTCTCACTCAACGATAATATTGCTGCAGGGTGTATTTCTTATATTACCTCAGCAATAAAAAAAGCTAAATATCAACGAATGTTAGAAATGCTTCCTACACTAGAAATAATGAAGATTAGACATCTAACGCTCTATCTATCATCTCTTTTATGTTCTCAATATGAAGTAGCTGATGAAGATTTTTATCATATTTGAATGTGCCCAATCGTCAATTATGAAATGAAAACAATCATAATCAACTCCAAAGATCACCTAAAATTTATTACTAATGCAAATAATATCGAAATAGAACAATTATCTTGTTGACAGCTTTGTACTTACAACTCAACCTCCTATTTTACGCTCATTAAAGGAATTGTTCCTTTATAACTATACTGCTTCATTTACAGCAAATTTCATTCAGTGTAACTAACTAATACAGCCTGTTTCTCATTTATGCATCTTATCTATAAACAAACTTAACAAATTTAGACAGATAGATGCACCATACAAAAAGAGCTAGTAATCTCTGCGAATATCACCATTGAAGAAAAAAAGAATGATTTTAGAATCTCAGGTTATAACCTCTCTTTCAGATTTACTCATAACACCTTTAGATCAAATTCTATCACTACTATGATACGTTTAGACTCACATTAGTTGAATTTTTGGTGCAGTAGTGACCATGTCCTCTTTTCTTTTATTCGTTTATTTTTCTGAAAAGTGATATATTTAGCTTAGGTTAGATTTGATTTTAGAGGAGTGCAAAGTCAGTCTTCTTTATAGATATAGTCTTTAAATGAGATTTTTGTTTTTTTTTGTGATTTGTTTTTATTTTATTTTTTAGTTTATCTATAAAATATATAAATATCTACTTTATCATAATAAAGATCTAGCAAAACTACCGTACTTTTAAAAAAAAAAAATGCTTAGTTAGTCATATAATGACTTTTAAAGCAAATATACTTATAAAGAAATATTATTATAATTGTAATTATAGAGAGAGATTTTTCTTATAATTTAAATTTATCTAAAATTTTAAATGTGTAGTTATATATATGATGTGCTTATATAATAGAGGGTAAATATATAAAGATATAACTATATAGCAAAAAAATTAGATCTAGCAATCATAAATTATATAAAAATTATTGATTAATCTTATTTGTAGCTTATTAATATACAAAAAACTAATAAGTTAATCCTTTAATATAAATATATAATATATTAAGAATTAAAAGTAGAGAGTATTTTAAAATTAGATTTTACATTTTGTATTACTCTAAACAATAAACAAAATATTCATTAAGTAATAGTAGCTAATATATTATTAAAAAAGTTTAGTTACTTATTAAAAATTTACAAAATTATCTAATTTTTAATTATATAATACTTTTGTTCTCTTTTGCATTTAAAAATTAAGAAAGCTGAAAAACTTAATAAAGACAAAGAAATTTTAGATATTTATAATCATTTATAACATTATAAAGTCTTAAATTTTAAATTTTATCTATTGAACTTCTTGCATACCTTGAGTATGAGATTGGTAAGTCTAATAATATTCTACTTGATTAATAAAGTGAATTTACAGGACTTTTAACTTTTTTAAAAAACCAGAGAATGAACCTCTACTGATGATGATAAATAAACAATTGAAAATATGTATAAGATTTGTTCTAACAATAATAGAACATCCAAAAAGGAAAGTTTGCCTCCACCCCAAAGAACCTGAAGGTAACAAATTATTACTACATCTAAAAATAATAAATGTAATGGTAGTAAAAACTGAATCAAATAGAATTTTATCCTATTTAATATTCTTACAAAAGATGCTCAATAATCTAAAAAGTTGAATCTTCTAAACTATATCAAGAAAAATTTAAAGGTCAATAAGAATTTGATAAAAATAAATTGATATTAAATCCACCAATTCAATTTAATTTAGTCCATAAATTTTCTAGTACCATTTGATGTTGTGTCATATTAGAAGTTGTTAGTTTAAAGTGATCGTTTTCATTAAAGATCTTTAATATATGTAGAATTTTTAGATCTTTTTTATAATAATTATATATCTAGTATATAAATAACTTATTCAAACATCTCACAAATATACATTCCATAATTACAATCTTACTTATCAATTCTACTTATCTCTTCTTACTATACTAAAATATAGATAGTATAAAACTCTTTGCTTAAATAAATAAAATTTATAAGTTACAAATTTTTTTATATATCTGAAAGATAATTTCATATTGTAAAATTCTATTCAAATACAATTTGAAAATGTTAAAGTTTTTTATTAAAATAATAATAATTATTTACGAAGCATTTAGCAATTACATATTTAATATTATTCTAAGACAAACTTGTAATAGATGATAGTGAAAAAGTTTTAACTTATCTTATTATTGCCTTACCTATTATATCTACATTGATATTACAGCTATAGACTTTTCAAACTCTTTTGATTCTTTTTCAAAAAGCTTCTTCTGAAGTATCTTTAAAAAGCTATTTCCTTAATAATTAGAACCTGAGACACCAAATCTTTATGTTTTAATTCTTTTTAATAATTATACTATTTTGATAATGCCTTTTTAAAATCATAGTAATGACAAAGAACTTCTTGAGTTGTCTTTCTAAGAAGATTTAATTATTAACAATTTTATTATTTAGGTTGAGGAAAATATTTGAGTCACTGTTTGATTCAGAGGTGGGTTTAGTTTGCAAGATTTCTTCATTTTCAGGATCAGCAGTAGACAATTCTTTAATCAGTCTTTACAATATAAAGGAATTATCCCTTTTTAGACTTCTTTGTCTTTTTATCAGAAGTAAATATGGATAATTCGTGACTATCTTTCTTAGAATATTTTTTCTGCGTGATACTTGAAGCCTGTTCTACTAGAAATAATTCCAAATTTAAATATTTTAATTAACAATTTTATTAATTTTATTATATTTTATTTATATAATATTAATCAACTAACCATATGTTTTCTTTATATAAATTTTTTATATTATATGTTATTGTATTTTTTTCTTTTTTAGAATATTAATAAATATGCTTACTTAAATTTTTATATTTTAATGTTTAATTATTAATATTTCAAGAATATATAATGCATTTAGCATTCTGTAAAAAGTAAATTACATTTTATTATAATAAATGCACTAATAATTTTTGACTAAAATCTTTAAAACAACCTCTTTCACCACCGATTTTTTTCTTTTCTAATAGGATCATGGTAAAAAGAAAATATAGAACTTGCCTAATCCAATAAATATTGCTATAGCAAATGTAGCTAATAATAATGCTACGAATAATAATGTCAACCAAAATAACAACGCAATAAATGTACAATAGGTCATGCAATTGTTAACTATTCTATAGTCTTTATAAAGTTTTCAGAGTTTATATCACTAATAATAAATATTGTCAAAATTCTTACAGAAAATAGAGAAGGTGGAAGGGAGAAAATTTCATATTCTTGTTCTATTATTAGCAATTTCTCTATTAAAATAAACAACCTAAAATGCAAGTTTTAAAACAAAAAAAAAAACCAAAAAAATCTCGAAAAACAAACCTTTTATGGTAATAAAAATGATCTTCATTGTATCGCATTTTCTAGTGTTACAAACTATCATCAAGTTTGGGCGTCATGTTGTAATAAATTCGAAGTTATTTAAGTACAAGTTATTATATTTAAAAAAAAAAATTTTATTTTTTTTTTATTTGGTGTTTTTTGACCGGGTTATTAAGAAAGGAAAAAATAAGACACCCGATCGGATAAAAACGCCCCCTTAACTAACTCAGCCTCGTCCTAGAATTACACGCGATTGTAATTTAGAGAAAGGCAATATTGCATTTTGCTATAATTAGATATGAACATCAATATTTTCTCTATTATTTTTATACTGTATGTGGGGGTTAATTAAAAAAACGCAAGTTCGTCTATAAATATAGAGTTCTTTAATGCATAAATAATATATATTTGTTTAATAATAATATAAATTGTATCACGTTTAAAATTTCTAATACCAATAAAAGTTGGAACTAACGGTTTTAACAAATTCCTAATCCAACCCTTTTCTTTTCATTCTTTTTTAATATTTTCCTTACTCTCATTTATTTTTTATTTGCTATATCAAGGTATTGTGCAAGGTTCTTTTCTTTTCCCTTTTTTTTTTTGAGAAATTGTACTAAAAAGTCCTTTTTTTTTTTAACATCTAGCATATTTTACAAAAAAATTATAAGCATATAATATATAATTAGACTACATTAAATAATGCGTACACCAACTCGAAAAGCGACCATTATTTTCGTTGGCATCTTACTTTTATTTTTATTGTCTTTTGTTTCCGCAGAAATAGATAAAAGAGGTAAGCCAAATTGCATTATTTTTTATATACATCAAGAAAAAATTGTGTGATTTACATGCATTAACTTGACTAAAATTATAATAGATCCACAAGAAGCACCACCAAAAGAGCCAGAGGCTCCAGCAGATGGCAAACAACCAGCTGATAATGGCAATGGCAAACAACCAGGCAATGGCAAACAACCAGCTGATGATGGCAATGGCAAACAACCAGCTGATGATGGAAATGCAAAACAACCAGCAGCTGATGAACCAAAAGACCCAGAAGCAGGAGGAAAACAACCGGCTAAAGATCCAGCTGATGGAGGTAAACAACCAGCAGCGGGAGGTAAACAACCAGCGGCGGGAGGTAAACAACCAGCAGCGGGAGGTAAACAGCCTGCAGCAAATGGAACGGATGAAACACCACCATATGTTGACCCTTTAATGCCAACAGTACAAATTCAAATAACTGAACCAAAATCAGCAAAAACTATATTATATAAAATAGGATCAAATATTACATTTGAATGGAAATATAGTGCTAATTTCAGTATTAAACCAAAATACCTTATTGTTAAGGCGCAACCAAGTGTAAACCTAAAAACTTTTTATACAATATCACAAAATCTTACAGTTAATGAAACGCAACAAGTGATTTGGGATACTTCTGCTGAAAGTTCTTCTTTACCTATGTCTCAATATAAATTATTGATTTCTGATGAAGAAGGTATGGATGCGGCTCCTAAACCTGGTGGTCTTCAACCCTTTGCAAATTTAATATTTGGCTTATATCAATCACAAGAAGATGGTAAGTTTAAAAAAAAAAAAAGTGATTTTCCTTGTGAAATTAAAAAATTATAAGCTAACTTTTTTTGACAATTTTGTAGAACCATTTTCATGTCCAAGCTGTAATAATAATGCTGCTAATTCATTCCAAATAATTCCATTATTAAATACTATTGGTTTAACTCTAATTACAATCATGTCATTTAGTTTTATACTGATTTAAATTATTAGTTAAGAGAAGTAAATACATGGACTATTTAAACCGACATTTTGAAATAAAAGATTTTGAAGTTGACAATGAACAATAGGAAAATATATTCTCTGCTATATTTGAGGAAAATGTATTAGATAAAAAAAATATTTTAATAATCAATAATTGTGCTCTAATTTTAGTTTAGAAAATTTTTATTACCCGTTAATTTTATTTCTTTATATTTTATAAGTTTATAATTTTTACTTTTTTAATTTGATCTTATTATTCAATAACATCTTATTTATTAGGCTAGCAATAGAATTAGTAAATGATATAAAGCGTCTATTTCAAGAGAAGCTTTTTCAAAAACGCTGGCCAATTGGAGATTGCATTCATTTTGAAATAATAAAATTCAACCGTTCTTACTATAATTATTTATCAATTAAAAAAAAAAAAAAAAAAATAATTATATAAAATTTCTTTTTACTATAAGAAAACACTTTAGTTATTTTAATAATAATAATAATAATTTTCTTTTATCGTTGAATATTTTTTCCTTTAACAACTAATTCAATTTCTTCTTGTGAAAGAGTTTCATAATCCATCAATGCTTTTGCTAATCTATGTAACTCTTCTTTATGAGTTTTTAATAAATTACTTGCACGTATTTGAGCATTCTAAACAACAAATATATAGACGTATACATGAGTATCAATAAATAATATATTTTAAAAATAATTATCATAACTCACCTCTGTTAGTGCCTTAATTTCAGTTTCTATAACTAGTTTAGTTTGTGTACTTAATTGTTCCATCTCTTCTTCTGGATGGGCTACTGGACCAACCTATAAATTTAAATTTGAATATTTAATACCTAAAAACAAACTAATAATGTGTATTCATTTATTTACCTTATCACTCATTCCAAACAATGTAACCATACGTTTAGCTACATTTGTTGCTGTCGAGATATCATTGTGTGCACCAGTTGTCACGTTTTCTTTACCAAATATCATTTCTTCTGCAACTCTACCACCCATAGCAACATCAATCATTGCAAGATATTCTTTCTTGGTATAACTGTCTTTATCCATCTCGGGTAATTGAACAGTCTAAAAAATAAAATAAAGAATAAATCCAATAGTTTTTTCTAAAAAAAATTGAAAAATGTAGATCATTTCTTACTTACCATACCCAAACTATTACCTCGTGGCATGATTGTAGCTTTATGTAATGGTAAGGCTCCCGGTGTATACAATGCTACAAGTGCATGACCACCTTCATGATATGCAGTTAATCGTTTACTATCATCTGTAATTACGGCAGATCTGCGTTCGGCGCCCATGATTATTTTATCTTTGGCATGTTCCATATGTCTCATCGCTACTTCACGAGAACCGTCCCTCGAAGCTTGTATTGCCGATTGATTAACTAAATTAGCTAAATCAGCACCCGAGAATCCTGGTGTACCTCGTGCAATAACACTTATGTTCACATCTTAAAAGATGTATCAAATTAAGTTAATTCATTTTTTAATCTTGTAATTCAAAAGAAATGATTATACATACCACGTGACAATTGAACATTTTTTAAATGATGCGACAAAATTTGCATCCTACCACGAACATCTGGGAGGGGAACTTCGACGTGTCTGTCAAATCGACCGGGACGAACTAATGCCTTATCTAAGAGTTCTGGAAAATTCGTTGCCGCGATGAAAATAACTCCCTCTGTTTGTGAAAACCTACAATTACCGTTCATAAATAAAGTAAATTTTTTTTTTTAAAAAAAAAAAACTTAGAATAATGATCAAAACCTACAAACCCATCCAAATCGACTAATAATTGGTTGAGCGTCTGTTTCATATATGTTTGATCTTTGGGATTACGTTTTGAGCCAATTGCATCTAACTCGTCAATAAAAACTATACTAGGCGCTTTGCGTCTTGCAGCAGCTATATAACAATTCGTTATTAACAAATAAATAACTCACAAATCAATATAAAAATAAATTAATAAAATTATTTACCAAAAAGTTCACGGACTCTCCTGGCTCCAACTCCAACATACATTTCATCAAATTCGGAGCCTGACATGAAAAAGAATGGTACACCTGCCTCACCGGCAACGGCACGCGCCAGCAATGTTTTTCCAGTACCTGGAGGTCCAGTTAATAATACTCCCTTAGGTAATCTACCTCCTAAACCAGTGAACTTTGATGGATCTCTTAAGAATTCAACCAATTCTTCTAATTCTTCCTTGGCTTCATCAACACCATGAACATCAGAAAATTTAACCACCTGTTGAGAAGATGGCTCATATTCTGACTGTGATCCCCCGGTCTTTAATAGACCGGAATTTTCCATAGCGATACTAAGGAAGGTCAGTATACAGAAAGCATACGTAAATGTAATTCCTACCCAACGCAACGCGCGCCAAAACATGTATCCACGCGCTAAACGATCAAAAATAAATAAATATAGATTTATATTGTAATGGATATGATTTTTTTAAAAAATAAAAACGTATGTAAATAATTCTATCAATACCTTCTTCAATTACAACATAAATCGGGTTGTCTTTATTTCCAGCATTTGCTGCTATAGTTGCTGAGCTACTCTCTACTGTAGTTTTCTTTCCCTGACTTTTCATAATGCTTTGTACTAAATCTGTTGTTAAAATTGGTTTACCTGTTTTAGTAATTATGAATTAATAAAATTGAAAATTTTAAAAGAAAATTCAATTTTTTTTTGTGTATTACCTCCTTCTGTTCTAGTTTGTTCCAATTTTTGTATAATTTTCGGCAAAATTTTATCTGTTTGACCAGCTTTAACTAAGGCGGTAACATAAGCTTGAAAACATTCATCATCTTGAGCAAATTTTCCACGCTCAAACCGAGCAATGACAACATTATGGTTGTTTGAGTTTAATAATTCCTAAATGTAACAACAAAGAAATATAAAGTAAAAATTTAAAGTTTAAAATACTACCATAATAAATTAGATAATCACCTACTTTATAAAATTCTGCTTGCTTTGATGCATCATTAGGCGATGCATTGGCCTCAGCCTCTAATAACTGTAATCTTCGCTGATTTACATATCTAACAGCAGAATTCGATCCAAAATATCTACGACTATTTCCCAGATATTGAATAGCAGAACCTATAAATTGTTTCAATTATTTTTTATTGAAAATAAAAAAGGTTGAAACATTGGGACAATGAGAGAGAGATATCTCTACCTTTTCTAAGAAATGATTGAGAAGTTGATATTCCAAAATTTTCTCCAGATCTTAATAGTCTAAGAGTAGATAGTGGTGATAACCCCGTCAATTTCCCTATTAAAAGATCGACATCAAAAAAAAATTCAAAAATAATATCAAAAAGAAATTTCAATTAGCAATAATAAAAGATTGCAAACCCGAAAATTGTGACAGTAAATTTTCTACTTCAATAGATTGAAAAGAAGGATCCGTTTGTAATATCGAAATATCATCTGCTAGCGCTGACGTAGTTATTGATGGAATATCCTTATTATGTCGTAAGCATTCCGGAAGATCGCTTACCTAAATTAATAAGTTTTTTCAATAATATGTAATAAAATTTATAATTGAGTGAAAGCTTTAAATTACCTTTAATGTTGAACGGGTAAGGATTGATGGTGAATCGGTAACTTTATTCTTTGACGAAGCAGAGATTGAAGAGGGTGTAACTTTTACTGATTGTAGGATCAAGGAAGTCTCGAAGAATAGCGCAGAAAGCTTTTGAATTTTTATAGAGTATTAGAAATTGAAGCAACACATCTATTCGCGGTTAAATAATATGATATACCTGCTGTGTCAAGGAAACTGTGCTCTGAGCTTGCATTAGACAATGACTTTGTTAGTCAACAAAATAACCGTGAGCGGTCTGATAAATAAACAGAGAAAAATAAGAGGACATTAACTATAAGGACCCGATTTGAAGGCTTACTAAATCACAAAAATCTATCATTTTATGATTGGTCGGATTGAGTTATAAAACTGGATTTGATGATCTTAGCCGCTTTTTCCAAACAATGGCGTATATTTCAGTTCTCTTCTCAAGCATATAAAAATCATATAGAAAATTTTCTCTTTAAATGCAAACCCTCTTTAAATGCACATATTTTAAAATTTTCACTATGGTTTCAAGGGGGGCATTTGAGAAAGTTGGCTGTAATAATTAAAATTCAATTCGATTCAAATAATATTTTCAAAGGTTTCTTAAAGATCTTTTTAAAATTCTAAAATCCAGTTATGATTATTATAGTATTTATTTAAAATAATGACAAATTCATACAACGTATTTATGAATATATTAGCATATATGGGACCTTTACAATAGAAAGGGGGGAAACTGGAATTTGACTTTTATATGCCAAATTTTGATTTAGCATTACTCCAACATATAAGGGGAGCCACAGATATTACGTAATATCATATAGGTGGGAGGGGAAACTGACGATATCTTATGTAGCACAAATTTCCAAAAATAGGAATATATAATACATTAATATAATCATTTTTTATTGGATGATAAATTCATATTTTTGTAAAAAAATGCTGACAAAAGATGTATTTTTATTTTCATTATTTCATTTAACGTTTTATTTTATTTAAAGTTTTAACTTTACATTTATTTTATATAGAAGCAATATGAGTTATTATTTCTTGAAATGAGCAAAACGCCTATGTTTCATAAGAAAAACACAAGTAGGGAAGTATTTTTTACATGTATTGCATTCAAGTCACGCATATTGTTCAGCACTAATTGAAGGACAATGTTCATTATACTTCATTGATTTTGAATCTAGGTACTGTGCAGTATGTATTGGATTTAAAAAATGGTTATCTTTGCCTTGAATTACTGGTGGAAGAAATCCATTTGTTTGTTCAAAAAAAGAGACAACTTCAGGAGCTCGTTTTTGTAAACAGCATTCTGAATTTGCACATTTTTGTATATTTAAAGAATACTTGCACATTTGAGTATGATTTTCAATCCAAGCCCAT